GTTAACTCAGACCTCTGCTAAAGCTCATGGCAAAGGAAATTCCTTCCACAAAGCAAAATATAAGAAAGAGCCTGTTTTGGGAAATTCTCCAAAAGCAAGAAATAAAAGCAGAGGGGAAGGATATTTAAAAATCTTTTAATTACAACAAATAAATTAATTAACAATGCCAGATATCAGGCAATCAAACCACAATCAAACTTCAATCTCAGGGCAGTTAGCTATAAACTGTTAGCAGTTGAAAAGTAAACCTTGTGCACACAAAGGCACTGTTTAATTTTCTTCTTGTAAGGGTTCTAAATGAAGACCCCATCACTATGCAGTTAAACAGTACTTCTTGTCCCCCTGAGGTGCTGATCAGTTCTTTATAATGTGAGAAAAGTGGCAGCTCAAAACCCGTCAATGGAGCACCCACAACAAAAGTTCTGAAAAGCTGAATGAATTCAGTTTGTAATTACTGCATCCCTTTCCCCCACCCCTTGCAGCTTATCTCTTATTCATTCACCTTATATTATTGTCAAAGAATCTTACTCTCAAAATCATCCTCTTCCCATTTTACCTAGGATCTCAGAGGAACTTATGACAGGGCAGAAATGGAACATTCACCCCCCCCCTCCCCACTACACCTGGAAATGTTCAGACCCAATAGGTAGAGAGGGGAGGAGGGATTATCTTGTACCCCAATTTACTGTGAGACTACTAGAACTCAGTACTCAATCTACGGAGTCTTCCATTTTAAAACCCGAATTTTACTGGCAAGTGGGAATCTGTACCCTTTCTAAATTCAGAGCCTGCTCAAGTTTCTGCAATTCTGTGACATCTCCACTTAGAAAAGGCAAAGGTTATAAATAAATCTCCTCCCCTCTCTCTCCAAATTGCAAGGCCCTAAAAGACTATGCCAGACATGATGCAGAAATCAAGACAACTTATTATGTTCTTGTTTTTTCACTTTGAAACCTAAAACCAGTAAATAAAATAGAAAAAGAGACTATAACCCCTTTCCCCTCAATACACATACACATACTCCCAGTCCAGGAAAAGGTTTTATGAAAAAGTCAGCTTTAGAATGCCAGGGCTCTGTGTGTATTTCAATTCAAGGCACTGCTGATGGAGAAGATTCTCCTGAGATTTCCTACTGTAAGAATGTGTCGGTTCTAGAAATAAGTACAGCTATTACAACCAAATCTACTAGCAGACTAAATAATTAATTGAAGCGTTGCTCTTTGACCCTTGAAAAGTCCAGTAGGGACACGTTTATAGTAATAATACTTCTGAATGAGCCCTTGTCAAATATTCATTTAGTGGTTAATGTGAGCCATTTTCCCCTGGGACCATCTGTAATACCGGCTTCCCAGCATTGGCAAGAAACCTTGCTAATCTACTACAGCTCAGCAAAATATTTTAACATTCTTTATTTAAAGTATGGGAGGGGATGCAGGGAGAGAAAAAAATTGCAGAGGGAACAAACTATAATCTCATCCTTCTGCCATTTCTATTCTGTGTATAAGGTTAGCAAAACATTAAATTCACCCCTTTCACTGCAAAGTGAATGGTTTTAGTGAGCAGGATAATATCCCAAGGAAGGAACTGAACACTCAACAACTTTAGCACTGGGAGATAATCATCTCTAGGCAAGCTTATGGGTTTACCCCATTCTTGGAAATCATGTTATAATTAAAATATCATATGTTCAATATCGATCTAGCCATGAAACTACACATTTTGGGGAACCGTTTAACCCAATCCAATGAGTGATGAAATATGCATCATTTTCTTCAAATGCAGTTTATCAAAAGAATTTATATTTGCAAACAAAATGTTTTTCCATTCATTGGTTAGGACATATGGAGGATTAGAAGGGAGAACGCGAGTACTCTCCTTTCATGCAGACAGTCACAGTCATTCAAAACTAGTTCAACTTCCCACAATATCACTCTCTTCCCTCTTGCAAAATATTTGAATCTGAGCATTTTGCCAGTAAGTTGTTTTCTTTTTTAGTCTGATCCTGTGGGGCTTTTTAAACAGGGAGGTTAGTGCAGTGCAATTACTCCAAACCCCAATACATATTTCTAATATATCTGGGTGTTTTTTTTTTTTTTTCAAATATATACACTCTATATAGTTGATTGGCTCAAATTCCGCGAATATTCTCCCCACCCCCCAGCAAGATCATTTGGATCTTTATTCAAAGTTTCTTTTATTCGTATGTGTGAGCAAGAACTGGCGAATGTGCTCATTACCACGTGAATAATCTGTATATGCATTACAATGGCTGGCCAGGCCAGGGGAAATTCTTTTAGAGTCTCTGCATTAATTAGGGGGGGAAATGCCTCACTTAGAATTGGGAACTGGCATAATAATTGTCTTTCCCAGTACAATATTACCCTAAAAATGAGGATTAAAAAAGGAATAAAATAAAAAACCAACACATAAAGCAATCCATATGAAATAATAAGAGAAAATATGAGGATATCCCCAGCTGAGCCCAGAACTAACGTTAACAACACCAAGAGAGAGAAATACTTAATTGGAAAACGAGAAGATGCAAACCAATGGGATGAACTATTTCAGTGGCTGCAGCCGATACTTTACTCAAGGGTGAAAGGCGCAGCTGGATTCCAACTTCTCCAAAGTTGTGGCAAGTTCACACAACAAGCCCTTGAAATTGTAGGAAGGAAACCCACGCTCCTAATGCAGGACTCTAGGTTCCTGGTCCCCTTCGGTAGGGGAAGATGAGCGACGTGAGTAGTGAATAAAAAAAGTCCCCGAGTCGGTCTTAGATTCTCTGACTGCGCCAAAGCGCGCGGGTCCGCTGCGAAGCAGAAACATTGCTAATTCAAAGACCGTGGCGATTCCCCAACTTTTCCGCTCCCACTGAGGATAACTACAGTCTTTCTTTACCTTTCCTAGGGCAAAAGAAAACAACAAATCCAATCTTGTTTCTCCACCCTTTCCCCTCCCCCTACTTCTCTACTGCTCTAGTAAAACATGGTTAACAGATCAAAAGCACAATCATCTCTAAATGTGATTAGACCGGACAAAGTAAAATATCTACCTCAGAGTTGTTTTCTTCTTTAATATGGCTGTTGCCTGGCTTCTCTTTTGCTTGTTATCAGCTGCAGAGATTATCCGATTTGGGGCTACAGGCTTGGACCCGCGCTGTCAATTTAAGAAATGGAATTCGTGGAGGGAGAGAGAGGAAAAAAGAAAATAAATAATAATAATAAATAGCTGTGATAAGTCGGGGAGTTTCTGCAAGACGCTCTTTGCTTTCCCTCGTCCCTAAACAGGAAAATGTAGAGAAGAAAGTTTATGAAGTGATGGAACAAAGAAGCAAACCACTTGTTTCTTCTCAGACAATAGCAGGGCCAGAGTAATCCAAACACCCACCCAGCAGATGAGCACTTTGCTTGTCTAGTTTGCAATTATTCCTATACAAGAAGCATCATTTCCCCCTATAACCACGTTTCCAAAGGGCCATTGTGCTGTGAAGAAAACGAAAACAAAACCAGCCAACCTGGTTCTGATTTGGCTCAATACCCCATCTGCTAAGCTACATGAAATTTTTCAGAATTGACTCCTTTCTGGCAACAAGTGGCATAAATCAGTTTAAGTCCCCATCATGCTTATTCATGCTGCTTAGAAAAGGAGAGGGTGGATTTACAATATATGTCCCTAGTTTCTGTTTTGGAAATGACATAAGCATTTCCATTTTTTCGAGAGTACTTATTCAATTAATCATCCAGCCATTTATTTGTTGCTGTTAACATTTGCTCATGCTACTAGACTAGAATACCAAGGTCTCAGGTACTCTGCTTTCTTGGCTGAGCACAGTATATTCCCCGAGGAGCTGGGTTATAATCACAATGTTATCCAAATAAATGAAAGACTCAAGCATAATTTCAGTGTCCATATTTCAAAAATTTATTTATCTCAAACTGTGCATAATGGAGTAAAAACTTAAGTTGAAAATGTACCTGTTATAAGGATGGTATTAGTTCAAATATATACATGGATTCTCGGCAGACTGATTCAATAATACAGAGCCGAATCTTTAAAATACAACTACGGAAACTAAAAGTGGGAAAACCTTAAAATATCACAATAAATTTACAGAAATATTACAAACCATAAGAAAATATTTCAAACACAGTAATTTCATGTTGGTTTTTTATCTGAACAAAATGGAAAGTTGGGAAACAAAAAAAGCTATTATAAATTACCAACGATGTCAACCTGCATGGCCATTTTTGCTTTTAACAGTTAAGTTAAAAAAATTTAGTACAACCTAAAACTTTTGCCCCTTTAGAGACCACGGAGATGGTTTTGCCAGTACTTATTCTAATTTTTTCCTTTTGTACAATTTTTAAACAATTAAAATGCCCAATCTGATTAATTTTCTTCTTTGCACTTTTGCAACTGTCCTAAATTTCAGCTGCAGAATCAAAATTCAGCAAGAAGCCTCTCCTTGAAAAATATTGGCAAATTTTCAGCTTATAAACAATGGACATTTTGATTGCCATGTTTATCTCGATAAATACTGTACAAAAGTTGCTTGCAAATATTAAAACATTTTTTTTTCGTCGCTTGGAGACTAGCTCTAAATATTATTGGTAAAGACTTTTGCAAACTTTCTGCAAAGCTCCTACCGTATCACTAGAACTTTTAAAAAGTTTTGCGTAGTTTTCTTTCCTCCAGATCTATACAAGGTCCATTCCCTCACCCTCCCCACCTCGCCCACCCCAGGTTTTCTCTGTACAAAAATAGTCCCCCCAAAAGAAGTCCAGGATCTCTCATAAAAGTTTTCTTGCCGGCATCGCGGTTTTTGCGTGAGTGTGGATGGGACTGGCGCTTTCTCTGCAGCTGTCATTTGCTGTGGATGATTTTATTTTATTTTTTTTTAGCGTACCGGGTTTTTCTCCATGCTGTTTCTTCCTCTCCTCCGTTTCCCTCTTTTTCTTTGAAAATGTCTCCCCCGCCCCCTCCAGTTCACCGTCCGGCCCTCACATGTGCGAGAGGGGCAGTGTGCCGTTAATGGCCGTGCCGGGCACCGGGCCGCTCTGGTAGTGCTGGGACATGTGAAGTCTGCTTGGGGCGGCGGGCTCCGGCACCTCGGCGCCGGGGAGGTACATGCTGATCATGTCCCGGAGGTCCCCGGCTTGGCAGGGCGCCCTGGAGTGGGAAGAAGAGGTAACCACGGGGGGGCTGGAGCTGGCCTCGGACTTCACCACCGAGCCCATGGAGCCAAGCGCCATGCCAGGGGTGCCCTGCTGAGAATAGGACATGCTGTAGGTGGGCGAGCCGTTCATGTAGGTCTGCGAGCTGGTCATGGAGTTGTACTGCAGGGCGCTCACGTCGTAGCGGTGCATGGGCTGCATCTGAGCGGCGCCGTGCGCATTGAGGCCCGGGTGCTGCGGGTAGCCCAGCTGGTCCTGCATCATGCTGTAGCTGCCGTTGCTCCAGCCGTTCATGTGCGCGTAGCTGTCCATGCGCTGGTTCACGCCCGCGCCGAGGCCGGCGCCCACCCCGACCCCGCTCGCCATGCTGTTGCCGCCCGGGGCGAGAAGCCCTCCCGGCAGTGTGTACTTATCCTTCTTCATGAGCGTCTTGGTTTTCCGCCGGGGCCGGTATTTATAATCCGGGTGCTCCTTCATGTGCAGCGCTCGCAGCCGCTTGGCCTCGTCGATGAACGGCCGCTTCTCCGTCTCCGACAAAAGTTTCCACTCGGCGCCCAAGCGCTTGCTGATCTCCGAGTTGTGCATCTTAGGGTTCTCTTGGGCCATCTTGCGCCGCTGCCCGCGGGACCACACCATAAAGGCGTTCATGGGCCGCTTGACGCGGTCCGGGCTGTTCTTCTGGTTGCCGCCTGCCGCCGCCGCGGTGGAGTTGCCGCCGCCGCCGCCGCCGCCCCCCGAAGTTTGCTGCGGGCCCGGCGGCTTCAGCTCCGTCTCCATCATGTTGTACATGCGGGCGCTGTGCGCGGGCCCGGCCCGCCGGCGGCCGCCGACCCTCGGCCCGGCCGGGACTTTGGGGGGCCCGCGGGCGGGGGGGAGAGGAGGAGGGGAGGCGGGCGGGGGTGTCGGGAGCGCAGGGCTCCGCGAGGAAAATCAGGCGAAGAATAATTTGGGGGAAGAAAAGAAAGAGAGCGGCAAACTGGAATCAGGATCAAAAAAGCGCTTCCCTCCTCTTCTGGCCGATCCAGCCGCCGCCGATGATTGTTATTATTATTTTTTGGAAAGGCTTAAGCCTGGGGCTCAAACTTCTCTCCCTTTCTTTCTCTCTCTTCTTCTTTCTCTCAGTCCTAGTCTTAAAGAGGCAGCAAACTACTTTCCCCCTTTTGCAAACACTCTCTTCTCTGCCTTGACAACTCCTGATACTTTTTTGAACAAGTTAATAGACAACCATCCATGTGACGGGGGCTGTCAGGGAATAAATGGGTTTCCAGCGACCAATCAGCGCGCGGCGGCTCCTCCACTCGAGCCCAGCCTCGCCGGCGGGTTTTGCATGAAAGGGGGCGGGGCCTGCCGCGCCGCCGGCCGCGCTGGGGAGGCAGGGGGGAGGGAGGGGGAGGCGGCTCCCACAGCCTGCCTGCCAGCCACTGAGAAACCTTTGTATCCCCTCTCGCAGCAACAGGTCATACCACACGCCTTTTCGGAGGAAGTGGGTAAACAGCCCTAAGACTACGATGTTTTCTTCTTTAAACTTAATCTTGAATTTACTCTTTTGCTGCGGGCTGCTGGAATGAGGAGGGGGGCGCGAGAAGCTGATGTGGGTGGGGGCAGGGCAGAGAAGGTGGCTCAGTGAGACTGTCCCACTAGTATTTCGGAAAACCAGCCGCGCTGGAGTTGGTGTGTCATTGTTCTCCCGCTCCTCCGCACACTTCCCCCAACTCCAGCCGCTCCAGCGCTTCTCCCTAAGCTGGCTTCTCCGCTCGCCCGGCTCGCTCCACGGGTACGGACACTCGTTCTCCCCCTTCTCACACTGTCCCGACAAGTTCTGTCCTCAAAACCTTCTTGCTTCCACGTAATGTGCTTTTTTTTTTTTTTTAAATAAAGCCTGCCCCGACTGTGCGGCTGCCTCCAGAGCTGAGGTCAGATCGGGCCTGGGTGAGCAGCCGAATCCACCCTCTTCCCGGCCCAGCTCAGCCCGCGGGGCAGGAAACCACAGCTTGGCCCTCACCCCAGCCACAGCTCCCACCCATCTTCCTCCACTCTGTCCGTGCAAAAGGGGACGCTCGTCCTCTCTCCCCATTCTCCTGCGCTCCCCGCCCCCACCCCACCCCCGCCCCAAGGGGGGATCTCGGTGGAGCGGGGTTCCAAAGGGGGGCTGGGGGGAGAAAAAGATCAACAGAAGGGCCCGGAGAAGTGCGCGCTATGGGGGAGGGTAGTCACAACTTCCTGGCATCCCCGGGCACTGCTTGGAGGTGGCTTCTGAGCCGCGCTCACGAACTCCCTCCCACGCAGAGTTCCCAGGACTCCAGCAGAACCAGCCCTGGCATTTCCCCCACTGACTTCTACCGTGGTGGCCGCATCGCCCCGGCAGCCTGGGTCTAGGCTGCCCTCGAAGGGGGAAGGGGGCGGTGTTCTCCAGGCACAGGTGCAGGCCAGGCCAGGCAAGAGGAAGGCGACCTGGGCTGGAGAAGGGAGCGAACCCGGCCAGGCCCGGGCTGGAGGAGGATGGGATGGGGGCGGGAGTAGGGGCTCAGGAATCCTGCCCTCCCAGGACCCAAGAGGGTAATTTTAGCCGCTCTCCCATTGTCCCGAGGTAAAGATTTCAATAGGTAGGCGCTCAATGCGCAGAGCAATGGCAGCACGTCCGTTACAAATAGGTAGTTTTGTTTCTCTTGTTGTCGGTACACGGAGTCAAACAAAGCCCCGTCTAAGTTTCCTTCCACTCTCTTGTTGGGATCTTTGTGGCTAAAATGCACTTGACTACAAAGCGGGGGGGGGGGGGGGGGGGTTGTGTGTGTGGGGGGGGGGGGCGGGAGGAGGTGAAAAAAAAAAAACAAAACCTGATGCCGTTTCTTTTTTATAAAGGGCTTAAACCATCAGGGTTACTTATTTTCTTTCTTCTGTAACACTCTCTCCGCCTCCCTCCTCCCCTGATCTACCCTTACTCACCCAAAGAAAATGTACTGAATAGTATCTGTCGGCCACGTTCCATTTATTATCTTTACAAAACTGTGCATTGTTTTGTTCCTTACTAACCTTCTTCCCATAACCTACCCCCACCCCCGTCCCCTGCTCCAGCTTCTCCGATCCCTGCCTTCCGAGGCTTTTCTGTTCTAGTCAAACTCAAGATAAGTCTGCTCACTGGAAACCCAGAAAAGTTGTGGAAAACTTTCAGACTTTTCTTGGTAAATTATTATTTCCAATCAGCCTCTCCTACCCCTGCATTTTCTCTTATTAGCACTTAAGTTACGATTAGTTTTAGTTATTAGGAATCCGGGAAGGATGATGCTAGTTCGAAAACTTACACACTTACTCTTCAAAATAAAGCAGTGTCTTCTGTTTATTCGAGGTGTAATATTAAGCTAAACAGGGACCTGGAGTTAGGAAAGAGAAAAGGTTGAGAGGATCTGGATAACAGAAGGCGGCCACCGGCTTTTCAGCGCGTCTGGTTTCAGGGATGTAGCTGGTGCGCCCCCTACTGGTGGATTCGCTTTCCCAAGACTATTGCTTTTACCTTTAAAATAAGGTGTTTAGAAATAATTAAAGAAAAAAAAAATGAGGGGGATGGGAGTGAGAGCAAAGTAATTACACGTAATCTAAACAAAAGAAAAGTTAACATGTTGTAGAAGCTATGGAACCAAATCACAAGAATCGGATTTAATTTGCTTAACTTAGAAATGTACATATAACCTCGAGATAAGTGGGAGGTTAAACCATGGGAAAAAATAGGTACAAATTATGAGATTCAACATATGAATGAATTGTGATTGTCCAGACGCCATGAAGGGCAGACCACGCATTCACTTTATGATTGTGTATGCATTGGTCTGCGCTTAATAGCATTATCGGAAAACCAAAAAAAAAAAAAAAGGTTATGGATAATTAAGTTTGAAGAAAAAAAATACAAGGGGTTGATGTGGATAATGGTGTATATGTATTAAAATAAATACTAATAATGGATGGTTATAGAAGCAAATGTTATTAATCTCTCTCAAGGGTAGTAGTAAGAGGCACAGATTTTTCCTTGGTATGATATATAAAAGCTTTTATACATTCTCAGATGCATGTGTTTGTGCCTGAACTCTATAATAATGCATTTAAGAGGTTAAAGGGGCTGGCTAGGTCTTTTGTTAATTGCTTTTATCATATAAATAAGCTATGGAAATACATTACAATTGTGTTATCATTGGTTGCATTTATTTACAGCTTTATTTTAATTAAGCCTGCTGTACTTATCAAGGCAATAAACTAACTGTGGCTGGCGTTTATGCATAATAATGTGCTATGAAAATAAGATTAAAGAAGATGGTGATAGCAGAAACAATTTTCTCATTAAATTTTTTAGAACATATGCATTAAAAAAATCAGATCACCGGCCACTCTATTTCAATCCAGCACCATCACTGGGCCCTAAATATAATAATAACTATAACAATCATAATAGATGACAGAAGCAGCCCGGCTTTAGGCTTCTAACAGACGGCTACAGTACTAATAACAATACACCATTGACTACTGAGGAATCAAAATAAGACTTGGAAGAGGGTGCTTCATCCTCTGAGAATTTAAAATGCTGCCACTGGCACAGTTTATGAAAATTTGAAAGTGCTTAATCTAAAGATAGTGTAACATTTCCCTTCCTTGGGCAGCAAAAAGCTGCACAGTTTCAAAGTAAGCTTAGAAATTAAGAATTCTTAATGCCCAGGATATTTTGATTCGATTTTGTTTTATTATAGGCCCCAACTTCAAATCCTTAACTGATTAAGTGTAACTCAGTTTTATTTTAAAAACCTTTTGCATTCATATTTCCCTCCTGAATTCCCGCATCCCTCCTCAAGTGTTATATCTGAAGCCAACTAACAATTTTGTGGAGATGGGGGACTGTAGACTTATTTTTTCTCCTTAGTGGCAAATAGAGGTTTAACTTGCAGTAATTAGGTGAGAACTAGCCAGGCATCTTACTATTATGATGCTTGTTAAAAAACGCTTCTTTTCTGCATCTGCATTTGAGTGTGTTCCCCTCCTCTCTTAATCTTCTTATGGAAATGAAGGCAAACGGCAGGGAACCTGCAGAGTCTTGGAGAATGTCCTTGTTAACTGGAATTTCTCAGCATTGCTAATTAGCAGAGTTTGACGACCACCAGTATTGGGGGGAAAGCTCTGTTTAACCACTCACAAACCATTCCGAGGAAGAGCAGACTAATTTTATTTTGTAATTAAAATCTGAAAAGGGCCCTATTTGACAGTTAGGGCTATGAGAGTTTTATCTCCCCGTGAAATAATTACTGCCTTGATAACTCAATTTTCTGAAAAATGTCAACTGTGGGTTCCAAAAGTTTTAATTTCATTATGTAAGGGAAAAAAAGAGAGAAAAATAGAAGAAAATGTACAGAAATGATTTCTAATTCTGGAACTGGTTAAATATATTAGGAGCTAGATTTGGCCAAATGAAGGGTTTTTTTTTTCTTCTTCTTCCTCTTTTAAATCATGTTTCCTTCGAATCCTAACCTTCCAACCAGCTCCAGGGAAAGTGACCATAGCAGTGATCATACTGCAGTGAAAGAGATCATACCAGCAGTGTGGGAAGTAAGAAGCGAATACAACTAAAAAGAGAATACGGCAACCCAAGGAAAGTTCTTGACTTTAAAAGCCAAAAATAAAGGAAGATTTTCAGTGTTTGGGACAATGTTGGTGCAATCTGGTAAGATGAGATTTCATTGACATTTAGCTCCCAACACAAGAAAAAAGAAAACAGAATTATAAAGAAACTGGTATGTCAATTTTTAAAATGCTTCCTTCCCCCTTCCAAACTGTAAAAACCTCAGTTACTCCAAACTGGATCACAAGACTTTCAAAATGATCAACACTTGATTCTCCAAGATTTATGAAACAAACATAGGTAAATAAAGGTAAAGAAAGAAACGTATTAGAGGATTTTTTTTCCCTTAAAAAAAGCATCATGTATTTCCCCAGAACATCAATACAAAATAGTCTGGAAAAAGTTAGAATACTGAAAGGAAGAGCAAAAATTAGAATAGAATTGTCCTGTTACCAAACTTCATTTGCTTTAGGTTGTGAAGGGTCCCTCACAGGAAGGAATTTCAAGGGGGATACTTCAATTTTTATAAAGCAATTTTCAAAATGATAGAAACTTTCACCTGTATTTCCCCCATTTTCTTCCTATTGCCAAACTTGTCAGCTTTTGGAAGTGTGAAGGATTACTGACAGCAACAGAAACAGAAAATTCTAGCTGATACAAAGGACTAGCATATACCTCTATCCCTTTTTATTTACTAAGGCATAGATATGCATGTGGATGCATGATAGAGTGACAATTTTAAATTGCTTGATCATATTTTTTTCTTCTTGTCTGTCCCTTCAGCACCTTGCATTTAATTTTCAAAAGTGGTATTACCCATAACAAATGAATAAGGGGATAACAAATGCTATTTCAGTCCAGACCCAATTTCACCAAATAATTTCACTCAAGAACTGTAAGGACCCTTGAAACCTAAGGAATGCAGGGCTACTCTGCATTCAGTTCCTTTTTATACTCATTTCTTTCATCTAATTCCCACTGATGAAATAAATACATTTTAAAAAGAACTCAATAGTTATAAAACTAAATATATCTCCCCTTTCAAATTACAGCAACAGAGTTATATATAATCACTTGTGTATGTCTTTAGGGTTGTATATAATAATAACCATATTGCTTATAGTATTTTATATATACACACACACATATATATATACACACACACACATCCTTATATATTCCAGCTTAAATGTTTTATGGAAAATATTTAACACAATTTTACAATTCATTTCTATTCCTGAATTATCACATAATTTTAACATAGGATTCAGTCTCTGTACTGCAGCTATTGTCCAGGGAAAAATTCAGTGTGGCCACTAAATAATTTAATTATTTAAATAGAAATTCTCTTTTTAAAAAGACAAACTGAAAATTTAAAGGCTGCCATTCTGGGGGAGAATGGATACACATATGTGTGTGGCTGAATCCCTTTTCTATCCACCTGACACTATTACGACAAAGTAAATCGGCTATATTCTAAT